TGGCCGCCCTGTTCGTCGCCTCCACTCTGATGGTGGTGGTGAGTTCCTTAATACCCAAATTTCCTCCTACTGCCAGTCCCGCGGCATTCTCCAGACTCACACCCTCCCTCACTCCCCACAGCAGAACGGTGTCGCTGAGAGCCGTGTTCGGGAGATCACCAAAACGGCTCGGTGTCTTCTTGTCCACGCCTCATGCCCCCCTTCTCTGTGGGGCTACGCCCTCCTTCATGCCGCCCTCCTTACTAACCTCTACCCTCACCCCCTCCTCCCCTCCACCACCCCCACTGAGCTATGGACAAAGGACAAACCCGATGTCTCCCCTCTTCGAGTCTGGGGCTCAAAGGCCTATGTCCTCATTCACCCGTCTGACCGATCCCGCTCCCTTGGAAAGCTTGCCCCTCGTACCCTTCCTTGCGTCTTCCTTGGTCATAACCCCTCCTCCCCCGACTACCTTTTCCTCCACCCTCCTTCCGGTCGACTAATTCGCAGCAGAGATGTCGTCTTTGACGAGTCCACCCCGTACTATTCCTCTCTCCCGTCCACTGACCCACTCCCACCTCTGACCCGTCCCCTTGTCTGGTCTGACACCACACCTCCCCCTCTCCTCCCTCCTCCCCCCATCCTCCCACCCCCTCCCCCTCCGCCCTCCCAGTCCCACGGTGCCCCTCCCTCGTCTGGTGACATCTTTGACCCGGACCCTCTATCTTCCCCTGTCTCCCCCGCCCACTCCTCCCCCTGTGCCCCTCCCCCTCCCTCCCAACCACCTCCCTCCCCCACTCCCCGCACCATACTCACCCGGTATCCTCACACCAGGTCATGTGACAGTATCCTTGGTGCACCGCCCCCTGTTACCCTCTCTACCTCTTCCCTTCCCCCTCTTTCTCCCCTCCTTCACCACTTCTTCCAGGCTGTCTTACACCACGCCTCTCCTGCACCAGCCTCCTCGACCACCTCCCCATTCTCCGCACCTCCAGCAGCAGCCGTTGCAGCGGCACCAGCAGCGGCAGGTGCAGCAGCAGCAGCGGCACCAGCAGCGGCAAGTGCAGCGGCAGCAGCGGCCTCCACAGCGGCACCAGCAGCGGCACCAGCAGCGGCACCAGCAGCGGCACCAGCAGCGGCACGAGCAGCGGCCCCAGCGGTTATCCGCGCCTTCCACACCTCCCTCTCTGAGGACTCCCATGAGGAGTTCCTTGACCTCCACCTTTCCGACCCCTCCCTCCTCCCCATCACCTTTGACCTGTCTGGAACACCAGTCTTCGCCTTTTCCTCTGCTCCCTCCATCTTCGTCCCAACCACGTACGAGGAGGCCATGGCTTGCCCCGACGCCCCGCTCTGGCTTGCCGCCATCATCAAGGAGCTCGAGGCATTTATCGCCAACTCCTCCTTCGTTGATGTCCCTCGCCCTCCCTCCTCTACGAACGTGGTAAAGGGGAAGTGGGTGTTTCGCGTCAAGCAGCTACCAGGAGAACCGCCCGTCTACAAGGCCCGGTATTGCGCCAAGGGCTTCACGCAGCGGTATGGTTTTGACTTCTTCGACACCTTCTCCCCCACCGCCAAACCTGCTACCGTTCGCGCTGTACTCGACCTCGCCGCTCGCCTCAACATGGAGATCCACTCGATGGATGTCTCCAACGCCTTCCTGCAAGGCGTACTACGTGAACTCATTTACATGGAGCGCCCAGACGGCTTCCACCTCCCCTTCCCCGCCGACTCCGTCTGGCAGCTGCGCCGACCCGTGTACGGGCTCCGTCAGGCACCCAGGGAGTGGCATGCCAAGCTTGCTGCCACCCTTGCTGAGCTTGGCTTTCGCACCTCCCGCTCTGACGCCAGCCTCTTCCTCCGCACCTCTCCCTCCCCCTTCTACATCCTCGTCTATGTTGACGACATGATCCTCCTCACCGCCGACCTTGCCGAGCTCGAGACTGTCAAGGCGGAGCTGGGCAGCCGTCTCAAGTGCAAAGACCTGGGAGAGCTGCAGAACTACCTCGGCATGACCATCACTCGCGACCGCTCCGCCCGCACCATCTCACTCTCTCAGGGTCACTACCTCCAGCAGGTCTTGGACCGGTTTGACATGGCGCGCGGCAACCCTCAGCCTACTCCCCTCTCGGTTGGGCACCACCTCTCCCCACCCTCCTCTCCCTCTCCCTCCTCCCATCCTTATCCGGAACTCATCGGCTCTCTCATGTACGCCATGGTTTCCACTCGCCCCGATCTTGCCTACCCCATCAGCGTCCTCGCTCGGTTCGTTGGCGCTGGCAAGCACACGGAAGAGCACTGGCAGGCCGCCAAGCGTGTCCTTCGCTACATTCGTGGCACCAAGGACTATGTCCTCACTCTTGGCGGCCCTTCCCCACCACACCTCAACGGCTACAGCGACTCTTCCTGGGCTGATTCTCGACCGGATCGGCGGTCCTCTCAGGGCTATGGCTTCTCCCTCGGCAGCGGTCTCATCAGCTGGCGGTCCACACGCTCCTCTGCCGTCGCCCTCTCCTCCTGCGAAGCAGAGCTCTATGCTGCGACCATGGCCGCGCAAGAAGCACGCTGGCTCACCTTCCTCCTTGATGAGCTCGGAGCCCCCCAACGCTGTCCCACCATCTGGTGTGACAACGCCAGCACCATCCACCTCACCAAGGACGCTGTGTATCATGGGCGCTCAAAACATATTGAGCTTCGCTACTTCTTCATTCGCGATCTCGTTGAGGCCGGCCACATTCGTCTTGGCAAAATCGACTCGGCAGCCAACCTCGCCGACATCTTCACCAAAGCTCTTCCCCTAGCGTCCCACTCCTTCCTGTTGCGTCTCCTTGGGCTCACCCCGCCACCAGTTTTGGCGGCCTCCTGATTACATTTTTTCTAGCCTTATGCATGTTGGGGGGTTGTGTTGTAAATGTATCTTATATATACAACATACATAGGCTAGAATAGGTGTAGCTCTTTAAGCTATTGGGGGGTTGGGTGTACACTCCAACCACACTTTGTGGTTGGGTCAAGATTTGGTTTGGTCTTGGTCCTTGGTTGGCACTTGCCAACATTTGGTCCTAAGGCCAACCAATCACAAGCTAGCAACATTGTGGGGTTCCCTACTCCACAAGGCAACTCACCCATTGGCCAACTTAGTGGCCAATAGGGTTGCACCTTCTTCCAACCTCTCTTCCTTGCATGCTTGTACTATAGAGCCTCCTTGGCTCATTACTCAACCACTCTTGAATTCTATCATCCTAGAGCCGGGGCGGACCCCAGCACCGGTGTGCAGAAAGAGCTATAGCAGGCATTACCCTTGTAATCAAGTGGGGCAAGACAGACGGGCGCTGCCCACGTTGGTCGCTTATCAGGGGGCAGCCTGATATAAGTGGGAAGCGGGGAAGCCGGGGCCAGGGCTGATATATGACCATAAGAGAGGGCAATGGGAGGAACCAACCGCGCTGGAGAGGGAGCTGGCCATGGGTTATGGGGAGGATGTCACAGCAGCCCCAGGAGTGAGCGAGGAAGAAAGGAGGAGGGCGATGGGGAACGCCATGGACGGCCACATGCTGAGGTGGCTGATTCAGCGGATGTGGAGAGAGACGGTTCTGAGCTGGGGGCATTAGGAAGACGAGAAAGAAGTTGCGCCAGTCCCACAGGGAGCATGGAGCTGCCAGGAAGGGGAGAAGGAAAAGTGGACAATAGGGGATTCGATGAGTGAAGAGGGGAAGGAGGCCATGCAACAGCTACTGGCGAAGCATAGGGAGTGCTTTGTGTTCACCCTGCAGGAGTTAAGATTGTGCAAAATGAAGGAAATGGAGCTGAAGCTGAGCAGTGCAGCGCACGTGTTGTGTTCCACCGAAGAAGGAAGATGCCACATGGGGATGAGGAAATTTGTAAGGAGAAGATCAAGGAATTGCTGGAAGCCGGGCCGGGCTAATTAGGCGGTCTGAGTCAGAGTATGCCACACCGACCGTAGTAGCTGCAAGAAAAAATCTGACAGGGGAAATTCTGAGCAGGAGGATGTGCGGTGATTACAGAGCACTCAACAAAATCACCCTACCAGACAGGTACCCGATGCCAATGGCTGAGGAGATTTTTGATAAGCTGGCGGATGGGGTCTTCTTCACGACGCTGGACCTGTGCCAAGGATTCAATCAAATCAACATCAGAGAGGAAGACATCAAGAAAACCACTTTTCATGGGCTAGATGGGCTGTACGGATGGTTGTACATGCCCTTCGGTTTGAGGAACGCGTCTGCCGTGTTTCAGAGGGTCATGGACACAGTGTTGCGTGATGTGGAGTGTGCTGCATGCTACATTGATGATGCGGTGATCTTCAGCGCCACAGAGCAGCAGCACTTACAGGATGTGGAGAGGACACTGAGTGCAATAGAGGGTGCAGGACTCACCTGCCACACGAAGAAGTGTAGGTGGGGGGAGCAGACCGTACTGTACCTGGGATACGAGGTGACAGGGGGGCAGATTGGGATTCAACAGGCCAAGGTGGAGGTCCTGGACAAGCTGCGGGAGCCCAAGGATAAGTCGAGGCTGCTGGCGGTGCTGGGCTTCCTAAGCTACTACAGGCAGTTTGTGCCCAACTTCAGCAAGCGAGCCAAGGTGCTGAATGGGATGCCGAGGGAGGACAAAGCGTGGGAATGGGGAGAAGCACAGAATGAGGCACTGAAGGACTGAATGACAGCGGTAAAGACAGCAACGGTGCTGCAGCTGCCGGTAGCGGACCAGCTGTTTACCCTCTACACTCACTGGAGCAGCCAAGGAATAGGGGCCATCCTCTGCCAGGAAATAGAGGGGGACGAGAAAGTGGTAGCATATGCCAGCAGGAGCTGCAACTCGACTGAGGCGCAGTACAGCTCCTACATAGGGGAAGGATTGGCAGCAGTATGGGCCGTGGGCCACTTGAGGGTGTACCTGCAGAGCCGTGAGTTCACATTGGTGACGGACCACCAGCCACTAACGTGGCTGATGACCACACCGGGGCAGGAACGCGCAGTGGGCCATGAAGCTATAGGAGTATGACTTCAAAATCTGTCACAGGCCCGGAAAAACCCTGCAGCACGTGGACGGCCTCTCCCGCAACCCGCCACCAACAGAGCCCACGGCGACGCTGATCCTGCTTGCAAAGCAGGTCGAGATAAACGGGGCTAAGGGGAGAAGAGGGCCAGCTGACACCTGGGAGGATGAACCGCCCATGAGGTGGGTGAGATGGGAGACGGAAGAGGATGAGGAGATGACAAAGAGGGTAAGAGCAAGGGGCCACCAATACAGGTGGTATCAACAACAGCTGCAAATACAGACAGCATCATGCGACATGCGATGAGCGATCCAAGCACGCGTCGCGTGCTACAAGGCAGCTTGCATCTTCGATCCATGGTTGCTGTTCCCCACATTTCGCCCTCAGTTCCTCTCCTCGTCCCCTCGCACTTCAACACCCTCCTTTCCACCCTTTTTCCCGCCTAATCCTCCACCCATTTTCCCCCTCTCACCGCCTTCACCACCCCCCTCCCCTCTCCTCCTTTCCGTTTCCCCCCTCTCCCCCTCACCGTCACTCCACCAGGTGGCGAGCGGGATCTGCGATAACCTGCTGACGTGCATCGTGCGCGCGTGGGACTTCGGCAAGCCGCTGCTGCTCGCGCCCGCCATGAACACGCACATGTGGACGTCGCCATTCACCGCGCGCCACGTGGCGATCTTAGAAGGGCTGGGCGCGGAGCTGGTGTCGCCAATAAGCAAGCGCCTGGCGTGCGGGGACGTGGGCACGGGCGCAATGGCGGAGCCCGCCAGCATTGAGGCGGCCGTCCGCCAGGCCATCGCCGCCATCCGCCAGGCCATCGCCGCCATCCGCGCGGAGAAGCGCCAGGCGCTGGAGGCAGGGCCCTCCAAACCCTAACGGCCGCGTGAAACAGGTTGTGAGTGCGTTTCGGGATTCTGTTCCCTCGGCGCCTTTGATGGGCCGTGGCCTACCAGGAGATGGCGTGGTGGTTCAGGCGGAGGTTCAGACGGATGGCAAGCAAGTATCTATTTCGCATGGAGTGGAGAGGTCAGAGGGCCGATCTGGAAGAGGCAAGCTGCGGGTGAGCGGCGTCATAGGCCAAGGGGTTCGCGCTTAGGGTTTCCAACACACGACTCAGGAGTGTGCCTGGTTGGGGCAAGGTCAGTAGCATGCTGTGCTGGTGGCAGCACCGCATTCAGAGCTGCTGATGCTGGGGCCCCTTCAGCATGATGGTTGTAAGGGAGCACTTTGGGCGATAGATTGGTTACGTCTGTTGGGGCAAGAATAAGTAGCTGGATGGCCTAAGCCCACCCCACCCGGCTGCACTGCACACCTATGGGATGTGCCATTGGGGTTGCCGAGGAGGATTACAAAGAAGACGGTATGTTTTGGCAGCAGTGGTGTGTGCTGCACCAATAATAGGGAGAGGAGAGGACGCAGCAGCGGTGGTGGGAGATCTCTGGGTATTTGGGATCCTCTCTGACCCGTTCAAGGGAGCCAGCCAGCCATTCGCGCATGGATTCTCTCCTCTCCGTTCCCTCCTACTTCCTTCCCCTCCCTCATCTCCTCCCATGTTGGGGCATATACTAGTCTGAATGTGGCCTATATCATATATGGCATATAGCCTGCCACTAGCTTCGCATTACTAGCTGTTATTTTTGCTCAGGTCAGGTTTGGTCGTTCCCAGATGGACTTTTGTGCATTTCTGGTTGCAGTTGCCCTTGGGCTTCTCTAGAACGTAGTTCCAGCCTTATGTAGGGTAATTGCAACCAGAGTTGTACCGTTCTGTTTGTTGCAACAACTTTTTTGGATTGAGATGTTTTTGGCAAATAAGTCATGAAGGTAGCTCAAATGTAATTCAACATACCGTATTCTATTCCTCAGTGTACCAAAGATTCTGTACTGGAGGTCGCTGGAAACAACTTCGCACCACACCTGCCTTTCAAACCCGAGGGATTCATATCGCGGAGGTCCACCACCTCGAGAACCGCCAGACTTGAGCCTTGAAATGAAATGCCCGCCATTCGGGTTTCCCAACGTAGCAGATAGTTGCTCCGTCTCCTGCATTCGGCAGTGATCAACATCGCGCGCGAACGTCCAAACACATTCTCATTGCTACCGTAGTACCGCGCATCACTGCGTTCTCGGGAATCACGCGCGCTGCCAGGACTGGCTGGCTGCGACGGGCGGCGGCACTCCACCGTTAGAGCAGTCATGGGCTCGATACCCGCGAAACCCTCGACGCCGTGGATGAGCGTCACGCCATGCTCAAGTCTTAGTGTTTCACATTGCCTTTATCAGCCCCACCAGCGGCAGCAGCTTCTTTTTATCTCAGCATCAACCAGCTGAAACCTGGCGAGTCTCACATCTGCTGCTGCGAAACTCACATCAGATCTGCCTCCGTCGCAGCTAGCCCCACCGCCTGGAGCGCCCCCTTAGTTCCGCCGCCTCTTCCGCCGACATGAGCAGGCCCCTGCGGAACATTGCGCGCACACTCGCACACTCCCCGCCATGCGACTCGCGTGGGTTCTAGCGACAGAGGCGGCGGCAACAGTGCTCGTGGTGGCGTGCGAAATACCTCTCGTGCAGCGGCTACTAACGCGGATAGGGTGGCAGGAGTGGCAAGAGGCCGAGGAGGACAGCGGCGAGAACGGGTTCGGCGGGGATGGGAGTGCGAGCGGCGATGGAGCGGGGGGAGCGCGTGCAGCGTACCCGCGTTTGAGCGATATGGTGATTCGCGATCCTGCTTTGCTGACGCGGCACATGACGCGGCTGTACGGGATATGAGATGACACGCTCAGGTGAAACACGCCATATCCCCCAGTTTAGAGGGATACTATGCATGACGGCATGGTAACAGCACACACAGATGCCAGAACAGAACACTTACAGTAGACAGTTGCCATGGCTAGTGTCATGGCATGGACTGCCATGGCATGGCATGGCATGTGTCACAGCTACTTCACCTTGTTCAGTGGTTGTATTGTTGAACAGGATAGGAGCAATGAGTTAGAGACTCTTTGTCTTTACTGCCCATTTGGGTTCTAGTATATAGCACTTGTATTTTAGGATGATTCATCCTCAGTCCAAAGTTCCTTACCTAGTGCCATAAACACTTCCCATGCTAATCACGCCTACTCCTGCCTGCATCTCTTCTCTCCTCTGCCATCTGCCTAGCAATGAAGTCCCCTCGCTCCCTCACCCGCCACGCACTGCCATTGAGCCCCACAGCAGCGAGCATGCCTGTCATCATGCGATGCCGTCTCACCATGAACTCAGGAAGCATGCTCTCATCCATCCCCCCCACCTCACCTCCCCCTGCCCCCGCCCCCGCCCCATCTCCCCCTGCCCCGCCTCCCCCTGTCACCTCCCGCCCTCCCTGGTTCCCCCCGCCCTTGTTCCCCCCGCCCTGGATCCCCCCTCCCTCGGATCCCTCGGTACCCACGTGTCCCCCCTGCCACGCGGCTCTCTCCCTGGCAGCGGCCTCCCGGGCCTGCTTGCGCAGCAGCGCCTGCCATACCATGTCCTCCGCCCCTCCCTCTGCTGCCGGACTGCCGAATATGAAATGCCGCTGCACCTGGTGTCACAAGGGCAAGGATAACAAGAGAGACGAGAGGGATGAGGAATGTGTGAGGATGGGAGCGAGGCCAAGTGGGAAAACGGGGTGTAGAGCAGAGCTGATGAGTAGCAGTGCTTGCAAGTGTCCTTTCCAGCTGTGTCCACAATCAAGTTTCTGAGTCACAAGTGCAGAACAACAATATCATCTAGCCCGGTGAAATTGGTTGCTATGTGAAAAACAAACAGTAACCACGCAAAAACGAGATGGTTAAATGCAAGAACAGAAGGGTTACCTGCCGCAGCTCCTGCCACATGGCTCTCCACTTGCTCTCCTCCAATCGCAGCACGGACGCCAGGTAGCCGGAGCGCGTGGCGAGGTGCGAGGGCATGAAGAGGGCGAAGCGTGTGTAGTCGATGAGGTCTTCAAAGGGCAACAAGATGCTGTCGCTCACCACCACTGGTATGCACCCGCTCACCATGGCGTTGAAGAGACGCGATGATGATACAGTGTTGCCTGCATTGGTGCATGAGGGAGGGGATGAATAAGAGGTGAGGTCCTTGAAGGGCACCAGAATGCTGTCGCTCACCACCACTGGTATGCACCCGCTCACCATCGCGTTGAAGAGCCGAGAGGATGACACTGTATTGCCCGCAGTGGGGAAGAATTGGGGGTTGAATGTACTGAAAAATAGGTTGAGGATCGGGCTGAAGGCCGAGTACTGTACTAGAGGGTGAATGCTTTAAAATAGGTGAGAAAAACACAAAGCAGACACACAGATGCACAGTGCAATAAGTACAAGCTGAATAGTCAGCACCTTCAGGCACGAGGCAGAAGAGGCTGCGGCGCATGGCATGCTGCATGGCCTGCACGTCCTCCACGGTCACCTCGCTCTCATCCCTCCGCTCCACCGCCTCAAACACCACCCCTTGCCTCCACTGCGGCGCTGAAAACAGCTTTGCCAAGCTTCGACGCAGTTCCCTGCCCTGAAAAGGGAGGGACACAGAAAACGAATGGAGAGAAGAAAACCGAGAGGATATGCAACATTGTGATACTGGCCAGTTAATGTTGGTGCCAGTACAAGCGTCATCAGTGAACATTGCTTACAGTAAGGAAACAGATACTGGTGAATGAATGATGCTGGCACTAGAAGACGGACCAGTGACCATTGCTGTTAGTAGGAGACTGATCAGTGAACATTGATGGTAGAAGGAGATTGATCAGTAAACATTGGTGGTAGAACGTGACTAATCAGTGGATATTGCTGGTAGTATGTGACTAGTCAGTGAACATTGCTTGCAGTAGGACACTAATCAGTGAACATTGATGGTGGTAGCAGACTGATCATTAAACACAGCTGTTAGTATGTGACTCATCAGTGAACATTGATGGTGGTAGCAGACTGATCAATAAACACAGCTGGTAGTATGTGACTAATCAGTGAACATTGGTGGCCTTGATGTGCTTTTCAGTCCCTGACTCACATTATTGAAGACCTCTGTAGATCCGCGGAAATAGAGCAAAGTCGTGCGATCAGACCAGCGACCAGGGTCGTCCAGATAAGGCTCCACTATTGGCGCATACGGTATAATCACATCCTTCATGAAATTCACGTCCTGCATCCTCACAAACAAGCATGAATAGGCACATTTTCTTTCATACAAATGAATGCAACATCAAAGAACACACACATTTTAGTCAACTGCTGCGAATGAAAACAATAAAAGAAAACGACAGGAGCAGTGGAAAAAAATTGTGCCTACCTGAACCCCACAGAGCCAGTACCACACCTGACCTGTACCATACCTACACCTTGGGGAAGGCTAGGTGTAGATATGGTACAAGTTCATGTATGGTACTGGTCCTATGGGGTTCAGGTAGGCATCACTTTTTTTCCACTGCTACTGTCGTTTTCTTTTATCATTTTCATTCGCGCCCGTTGACTAATCTGTTCATTGTTGCACTTTGCAGGATCTACTAATTTGTGCACGCTCTGAAGGGAGCTTCATGGCGTATAGCGTGGTTCATCATGAGGATGCGGAGCAAGAATTTAAAAAATACATGAATAGGGAAAATACATGAAAATGCGAAATTACATAAATAGGGATGTTTTTTTGCAAGTGAATGAGTGCAGCATCAAGTATGCACACACACATTTTAAGGCGGCAGTTGGCAGGCAGGCATACCTGCAGGGGCGAGAAGGAGAAGTCGGTGGTAAGAGTGCAGAGGGAGGGAAGGAGGGCGTGGAAGGCAGGCAGAGCACGTGGCATGCTCACTGGCAGCACCACTCGCGGCTGCACCCCTGCCCTCCCACCACCACTATTGCTGCTGCTGGCAGTCAGAACATGGAGCCATTTGGTGAGGCTATCGAGCAGATGACTGCAGGAAAGAAAACGGGAGAGTGGACAAAGAGAGGACGAGGGCTGCAACGAGCGTAAGAGAAGGAAGCAAAGTAAGCCGCATGGCATAAGCATTTTGAGCTCCATGAGATGTCCACATGGTTTTCAAATCACACTACACATCAGCAGCATCACATGGGCAGCCTCACATCAGCACACACCTGAATTCCTCGCTCAGATGCGGCTTCATGAATACTGGGGCTAACCCCTCTCCTGCTGCTGCTGCGCTAGGTGCTCCAGAGACCTCAGGTGTCCCGTCAGGTGGTTTCAGAGCAAGCAGCAGAGCAGCCGGGTTGGTGGGCGTGGCATTGAATGAGAAGGCGAGCAGCGAGGAGAAGACGGGCAGGAACACCACATCAGCGTCGCGGGCGTGCGACACGAGGTGCACGGAGGAGGGAGTACCGGAGAGCAGGGAGAGTGTGAGCCAGTACTCTGCACTGTGCTCCGCTGCAAATGGCACTGCTGGGAATGCCGGCACCAGTGCGTGTGACCGCCGCTTCGACCAATACCGCGCCTCCATGTCAGCTAAGGTGTCGGATGGGTTGGCGGGGGAGGAAGCTGAGTTGACCGCAGGGCGGGTGAGGTCCCACGCTGGCGGCATGCCGTGCTGAGTCAGCAGCTGCACGCGGTGGTCCCTCATCCACTCCCCCTGCAGGCACACGTGGCATGGAGTGACGTGGCAGGGAAAATCAATGCGGGATAGCGAGAGGGCGGAACGGGGTGTGGCGGAGGGGGAGGGAGAGGCGCAGGTATGAGGCGCGGGGAGGTGGAAGGGGGCAGGAAGAAGAACCCTCAAGGGGGGGAAGGGGCGCGCGCGCACCTTGAGCAGGCGGAAGTTGAATTCCGCGGGCAGCGCCGCGAGGAACACCTTGAGGCGCGGGCGCTGGGGCTCTATGCGCGAGGGGCGCGCGGCGGGGAGGAGGTCGGCGCGCAGCACGGCGAGCAGCAGCAGCCCCGCCGCCAGCAGCGCCGCCGCCGCCGCGACGAGCGCGTTCGGCGGGTGCGCGCCGACGTGCTTCACCCCCGGGCGCGACATTCCTGACGGCTCCCCGTTACAATCTCCCTTTCGCTCTCTTTCGCTCTCTCGCGCTCTCACAGCCAGAATTTTATATAACCGCGCTCTCCCGCTCTATCGTTCCTGGTGAGACCGTGAAACCCTCACGACGCTTCGGCGAACGCAATGAGGGGAGGCGGACACCCGCCGCGGGCCCGCTCCATGCGTGTCGTCATGCGCCTCGGCGCGAAGCTCAGGTGCCGAGCCGACGAGCGCGCTGACTGACTGCTGACAGCATGATAGCGAATCGACAGTGCGGCAGCGTGGTGGCGAAATGATCGCGTGGTAACGACTATCGACTGTACTACTTCCCGCTACCCAGACATGGGGCGTGTGTAAGACAGGAAACTGTACGTACGGCGCCTGTTTATGCCTACTAAGATATGCTTGCACTACCCCCAAGGTTCACTCTGGCCTGCTTGTGATTCCAGTTCTCACTGTGGAATAATCTTTCCGTCCACTATACATTGGAGCTTCCATTCTTTTCGAGTATTTTGGCATGACAACAATGTTTTGATGACGGTAATAGACTCTTCAGAAATGCTTATTCTATGGGCTCAAGCCTTAACTATCAATGCTTATTCTATGTCAATTGCAGAAGATGTCAATAAAGATAAAACCCAAAGGACTCTCCCACTCTCCGCTATGAGGAGGCAGGACAATGGGCATGATAAAACCCCCAGGTTAACAGAAGTCAAGGCCAGAATTTCAAGTAGCTCAACAGTACTTTAAATCCATTTAAAGCAACACTTGTGCAGTTAAAATCTTTCTGTACAGCAGGGTTAATTACGGTAGATTCGATTCAATACTTGTGCTGCAGCACAATAACCACACATGGTGTTGAGCACCCGTTAACAATTATTTTCTTCTTCCGACACTAAAAGAAAACCTGCAAACAAAAAGACAGAACACATGTTAGTCAACTGCCGTAAATGGAAACATAAAAGAAACAACATAGCAATGGAAGACGCCTACCTGATGCAAAATAAATAAACGCCATGGTGCACCCATGAGATCCTCCAAAGCGTGCAGTGCAGAAATGAGCAGATCCTGCAAAGAGCAACAAAAAACAGGTTAGTCAACAGCCGTGAATGAAAACGTTAAAAGAAAATGACTTGTGAAAAGCAGTGGAATGTTACCTGGACCCCACAGAGCCAGTACCAAACACCTGACCTGTACCATACCAACACCTAGGGGAAGGCTCTGTGAGGTGTAAATGCTTGATACATTAGACCTTTGACCATGGAGCTGCTCCGCATCCTCATGATCAACCATGAACGCCATGGTGCACCCATGAGATCCTCCAAAGCGTGCAGTGCATAAATGAGCAGATCCTGCAAAGAGCAACAAAAAACAGGTTAGTCAACAGCCGTGAATGAAAACGTTAAAAGAAAATGACTTGTGAAAAGCAGTGGAATATTACCTAGACCCCACAGAGCCAGTACCAAACACCTGACCTGTACCATACCAACATCTAGGGGAAGGCTCTGTGAGGTGTAAATGCTTGATACATTAGACCTTTGACCATGGAGCTGCTCCGCATCCTCATGATCAACCATGAACGCCATGGTGCACCCATGAGATCCTCCAAAGCGTGCAGTGCAGAAATGAGCAGATCCTGCAAATAGCAACAAAAAACAGGTTAGTCAACAGCCGTGAACGAAAACGTTAAAAGATTGTGAAACGCAGTGGAGCTAAGGCCGAGCTGCAGTCGCTGCCCATCCGCGGCCTGGGCTTCAGATGGTTCCTAGATTTGGCGGGGGAGTTGCCTCTGAGCAGGGGAGGGAAACAATACATCGTGCTTATGGTGGAGCACGTGAGAAAATGGTTAGAGGTAAGGGCGATCTCAAGCAAAAATGCAAGGCATGTGGCAGCAGCGTTCAAGGAGCAAGTGCTGTGTAGATTTGGGGCGTGCGGAGAGGTCCTCACGGACCAGGGGAATGGTTTCAAGGGGAATTCAAGAAAATGTTAGAGGAGGCGGGCATTACCCGCCGCCGCACCTCCCGCTATCATCCCGAGAATGACGGGTTGACTGAGCGGCTGGTGCAGACCATAAAAAGAGGATTGCGGGCATATGGGGCGAAGAGAAAGAGAGACTGCGATGATGAGCTGCATTGGATTGCGGCAGGGTACCGGTTCGGGAAGCAAGCAGCCCTGCGAGACCATTCACCGTACAGCCTCTTGTTCGGATGCGAGCCAATACTGCCGGTGGGAGCTCCACGGGTCCTGACAGAGACTGTAACAGCGGGCACCATAGACAACTGGGTAGCACTGTCTGAAGTCAGAGCAAGGTATCTGCGAGTCATGATGCCAGCGGCCTTGGAGAACCTCCACACCGCGCAGCTGAGAGATGCGAGACGCTATGAGCAGCGGCAGCAACAGGGGTCGGGAAGGGCAAAGAAGGGAGTCAGCGAAGGTCAGGAAGTGTACCTGAAACGGGCGAAGCAAGACACGCTGTACGTTGGGGTGGGGACAGAGAAATGGATGGTGAAGGAAGTGCGTCCATCGGGGGTGTTAGTGCTGGAGAACGAGAAAGGAGCGCAGCTGAAGGAGCATCAGACCAACACGGCAGTGATACGAGGAGGTTAGCCTCAGCAGAATGGTCCTGTGACCCGAGCTCAAGCCGCTCGAGCATGGGCACAGGAGGGGGCAGAGAGTGGCTGAGGTGAAACAGCACAGCAAAGAAAGAAGGCAGAATGGAAACAGGAAGAAGAGCAGGTGCCAGAGGAAAGGTGTTCTCCGACACAGCAGCAGTACCTGGATTTCTTCAAGAGCTTGTCCCCCACATCCAAACCACCCACTGTTCGGGATGTAGCAGCTCGAGAAGACTTTGAGATCAAATCCATGGACGCCTCTTCGGCCTTCCTGCAAGGACGCCTCAAGGAAACCGTATTCATGGATCGACCTGAAGGCTTTCCAGGAAAGTTTCCTCCCAACACTGTCTGGAAGCTGAATCGCCCTGTCTACGGCCTCAAGCAAGCCCCTCGGGAATGACACAACATAGTGAAAGAAGTCCTTCTCTCACTAGACTTTCACCCATCCTCTGCCGACCCGACCCTCTTCATTCGTCGCCACTCTGAGCCATTCTACATCCTTGTCTACGTCGATGACTTCATCCTCGTTGCCAAGGACTCGGCCCAGATGGCCTCTGTTCAGGAGGCCCTAAGCAAGGCCCTCTTGATGAAAGACCTCGGTGACCTCAAACACTACTTGGGGATGGAGATCACCCGCGATCGCCAGGCTCGCACCATCTCTCTTTCCCAGGAGTTCTACACAACAATGTGCTCAAGCGGTTTGGGATGGAGCTGTGCATATCTATCGCCACCCCACTGCCGCTGCAACACCTCCTTACCGCCCCAGCCGTGCCCACACTAGAGACATGCACTAAACCATACCCAGAGCTTGTTGGGTCCCTCATATATGCCATGATGTCCACCTAGTCTGAATACCCTGTCAGTGTCCTATCTCGTTATGTGGCTCCTGGGCGCTTCACAGACCTTCATTTGAAAGCGGCAAAGCGAGTGCTAGGGATGAGAAAAAAATCGAACACTTCGAGGCGAACCGAAGAGTTTATTTTTTTTTTTTTGGCTTAAAGTGTTCGCCGAACAGTGTTCGAGGTTCGCCCGAACACGTTCGTGTTCGGGCCGCTGCTGCAATTTGCCCCTAGACGAACACGAACGTGTTCGAGGTTCGCCCGAACACGACGACATAGGCGAACGGCGAACACCTGTTTTTTCTTAAGGTGTTCGCCGAACCGAACAGTGTTCGGTTCGCCGAACAGTGATGTTTGTGCATGAGCGAACGCGAACACGTTCGTGTTCGCCCCTTGCTCATCCCATGTTCGGGTGCTGCGCTATGTGCAGGGCACCAAGTCCCATGTCCTCACCCTTGGTGGGCTTTCCCCTCCTCGTCTGGAAGATTACGCAGACTCCTCCTGGGCAGATGACCAGACCGACCGACGCTCCTCCCAAGGCTACTGCTTCACCCTTGGGAGCGGCATTGTCAGCTTGCGCTCCACCCGATCGTCTGTAGTCTCCCTCTCCTCCTGTGAAGCCGAGCTCTATGCAAGCACCATGGCGGCTCATGAGGCTCGCTGGCTCACCTTTCTACTCCAGGAGCTTGGCTCAGCCCACTCCCACCCTCTGGTGTGACAACCAGAGCACCGTCCACCTCTCCCAGGATCCCGTGTACCACACTCGCACCAAGCACATCGAACTTCGACACTTCTTCATCCGTGACCTTGTCCAGCGAGGGCAGCTCAATGTGGAGTATGTAAATTCTGACTGTAACTTGGCCGATCTGTTCACCAAACCCCTTGGGAATGTCCCTCACCATCGCCTTCTAGGCGCCATGGGGCTCTGCGCTCCTCCTTCTCTGCCATGAGTTTGATTGACGCGTATGGGGGGGTGTCGGTGTTAGCCCTCAATCTCACAATTTGTACTTGTACTTTTATATCCTAGTTTAGTGTAGTTTGCACTTTGTGTTTGGTTGGGTGTACACCCACATCCCAACCAGGCCCAAATGTAATCTCACCACCGCGGTTAGAGTGTAGCATCAGCACCGATTTCTTGGTATGCCGCTCTACGACCGTCAGCCACTTCTTGAACACCCGCAGCGCGTCGATCTTCTTGGCAACCGGCCTCACCCACACGATGCGGGTCTTGTGGTCCTTCAGCATAAGAAAGTATAGGCTGCCATCCTTGGCGGCCACACAAAATGATCCGCTTAGTGCATGACGGCTAGGTCTTCATCCGCGTTCGATCCCTTGTCGGAAAAGGGTGGGCCGCGCTACCTTACCGTCGACGCAGGGCACACACGGCAGGTCGGTGCCGATCGACTGCTTCATGTCCAGGCCGGTGGTGACCTCGTTCTTCGCCGAGCTCGTGATGGTTTCAACGCCGAGGTGCTCGAGCCTCGTGTGCCACCTGTCCGGCGTCGACTTCGTCGCCATTACTGTCGTCCGCCGGGCCACCGTCTCCGTC